TGCCATGTCATATATGAATATATATATATATATATATATATTTACACATACATATATACATATATGAGAGAGCCATGGGTACTTGTTGGTGGCATTAAAAAGCATAAAAACATTAAAAAGCATTAAATAAGAGGTACTCATTCCTGTATAAACCCTGTGGAAGGATACTGGTCTATGCAGACCGTTCTCCAAAATTTGACCAAGTAACTTGAGATCCATCAATTAAGGAGTCATGTGACCCAGAGCACTGCATTAAGCACTAAAGATAAATAAGCTCAAAGTTGCTGTTAGAAACAAAAAAAGACCAAAAAGATCTTTGGATCTCTAATGTAGGATTTAATCTAAAGGGCTGAAGAGACATTAAACATATGTAGCACATAAGAAGAGCCCTGGACGCCTCCCTCAGGGGGTGTTCCAGGCACGTCCCACCAGGAGGAGACCTCTCTGGAGACCCAACCACCCCCCCACCCCCGCAGAACTGGAGAGGTCGACTGAGAGCGAAGTCTGGGAATCACTGCTAAGAGTGCTGGCCCCACGACCCGGTCCCGGATGAAGCCGGAGACGAATACATGTGTACGAAGTACATAAGAAGAGCGAGATTGAAACTGTTCATATAAACTTAATAAAATTCTCCCTTTTCACGTTTTAATCATTTAAATCTGCAACAGTATTTTCAAAACACGTAACAGAAAATAGAAAACTTAACAGCTTGAAAAACACAAACCCATCATTATATTAAGATATCTATGCTGCACCTGGAGAGACTTCATTCACTTTCTCTGCAATTATTAGAGTCTCTGAAGACTCAATAAAATATATTTAGAGTTTAAAAGGTGGATTTGGTTAAAACATTTCCCTTAATATATCACATCTATTTTCCCATAAGTTACTCCTGTCATAGAGAGCCGCTCAGAGCTCCCTTCTTCCTCCAACAGAAGAGAGCCAGAAGCATTTTGCTTTCTACAGTTATTCCACTTGATCCGGTCAGGTTCAAGAATCCTCCAGTGCTGCTGGCACAGAAAAGGAATGCCGGCCTCGTTCCAGGACCTCATGCTTCCAGGAAGACAGACTGCTTAATAATGAGAAGACGAGGAAGCCCCAGCAGGAAGCGCCAGTTAGATCTGCATCTGCGCTGTCCTTTTCTAGGCCAGTTGGGTTTCTGCACCAGATAAATGCTTGGACAGTGGAGGCTGCAGGTGGATCCGAAAACAATAACACCAAACAGGATTAAATAAACTAACAAGGCCTAGATAGTTACATCACTATCCTATTTTTCATTCTAGATTATTTCATTTTCATGAGGGTGCACCATGCATTATAGCTAGTTATAATGACCACACTTTTTCAACTTTCTAGTAGTTTCTATGCTCTAGTTATTGTATTTTTGGAAGGTATGCAACCAGGTAATGGGTTTCAGAGATCAGGGGTGAAAGACATGTAGCTAAGGTCAATAGACTGGGAATCAAAGTAATTTGGGTTGGATATAGGAATCCTTCACTACATAGAAGATAGAAACATTCAACCTTTAATTGTGTAAAATCCTCCTATCCTAGTAGTTTAAGGAAAAACTGGTTTTAACCTTTTAAGACTAGGCTGAATATTTTCTTTTTGATAAAGCTTATAGTTAGAGTGGCTCAGGTTAT